CAACTTTATTGGCATGATAATAATAATAATAATAAATCACAAAAATTGCAATAAATGTCTAAAATACTATACTGTAACACTACTCTTATTTACAGTATGTATATCTCAATAAACCAGAAACAAGCCATTGGGAAATACACTATGTACTGCAAATAAAGTTACATTAGGGATGATCTCGCCAAAGCTAAAGGTCAATTGCTTGTAGGCCCCGGCTTAGTGCTCTATAAAATGTATCCTTTGTCAAGGCAAAAGCTACGTCTGCTTTGTTCGGATAACATTTTTATCAAAACTCTGTTAGCGAAACATAAACACCGAATTAGAAAGTCACCGTTAGATAAGAAAGTGAACGAAATCATGCGTAGCAAAGTTCAAAACAAGTTTGTGACTTACGAGTGAGCGGCGAAAGTTTGTGCAACCTAAGCTTTGGCCTTAGGAGATCATAAGCACGTTTGTAAACTTTCGCGACATAAAACCTTCAAGGACGTTATTATTCATATCGATTCGGTGAACCAACGGGCATCGAACCGCGAAACGAGTTAAAAATACCAACACTGGCAAGTGGACCGGCATCTGCGGACACACCGGTCGAACTACTCGGCGATGCCACATGCGTTTGTTTACTATCGGATTCGATCGCGACGGCAGCGACTAAAGCGGCCGAATTCACTGCAAGGTATCGTCGCGAGTTCTAAAAAATAGTTGCTCTCAGCGAACTTACGACGAATGCCCCAATCCATGTCGGAATGGTGCGCGAAGCGGGCGGCACGCGGCGCGACGCCTGTAAGACGACTGCCGCGTCCTGCCGCCCGCACACTCCCGTTGATATATTCCCATTGTAAGCCACAACGAGCATTGTCCGCTCCAAAAGTCTACGCGCGAATATCTTTGATATGATTATAGCCTAAGACGTTAGGCGAGCTTTTGTAGTCGTCCTATATAGCAGTTAAATCGTCATTTCCATATTAAACGAGTAAACGGCCGTAAGTATGTAATGTTTTAATCCCGTAAAAAGGATTACGTGTCTAATTTTCGGTGAAAGAATATAATTTAGTGGTTGCATTAAGTATTATAATTAATTTCTAAAATACATAAATAATTTCCTCAATTTACAAATAAAATGTATAATGTAGTTTTAGTAAAATAATAAAAACAATAATTTATGCTAAACGATAGTTACAGCTATATCTATATATAACGATAGCTAATAAAGCTATGATTTTTAGCTTTACAGTTGTAATCCGAGGTGAATATTGACACGCGAAGCTTTGTGCCCTATATTTTAAGAAGAGGGCTTAAGTGACATTCAAATTAACATATAGCAACTAATGATACGAACTGAACTTGTACGTAAGATAAAAATAACACTAAACACAAAACTTACATGCATCATACACACTTAATTTTCATAATACTCAAAAATATAATAAATCATGGTTAAATCGCAGGCTGGTTTTTGGCTCTATTTTAAAAATCATTGAAAATAAATAACCCAAAAAAGTTTTCTATTTTAACATAAAATATGTTTAAAATTGTTGCTTAATTTTCAACCGACTTCAAAAAGGAGGAGGTTCTCAATTCGACTGTATGTTTTTTTTTTTTATGTTTGTTACCTCAGAACTCCGTCATTTATTAACCGATTTGGACAATTTTTGTTTTGTTTGAAAGGGTATACTTCCAGATTGGTCCCATTTAAATTTCAAAAAAAAATACCACCCCTAAGGGTGGAAAAACAACGAATGATGAATTTCACCTATTTCTAATTGTCATATTGACTTGAAACTTTGCAAGTATTTCTATTTCCGTTGATAGTACAGTGGTTCAGTGTTGTTGACCTGATCTGATGGCAAGGCCAGAAGGTGGATAGGTGGAACTCTTCAACGGCTAATAGTAGATACATTGAGTTTGGGCTTATTTTGTTTGATTTGACAAGCCTAACACGTTAGAATCCTTACTTTGCTACTACTGTCTACACTAAAAAGGGAAAAATAAAAACTTTTTAACAAAAAAATAAAAACCGACTTAAAAAAAAAGCACTAAAAAGTAAAAAATAACTGATTGGTAGTTTTCATTTACTATACATACCTAATCAAATATTTTCGAAGTCGGTGTGCTTTGGCTAAGTAATTAAAGCCTACCTATTAAATACATACCTAATCAAATATTTTCGAAATTACAAAGCAAAGCACACCGACTTCGAAAATATTTGATTAGGTATGTATAGTAAATGAAAACTACCAATCAGTTATTTTTTACTTTTTAGTGCTTTTTTTTGAAGTCGGTTTTTATTTTTTTGTTAAAAAGTTTTTATTAATTCATGCGAATACTTTACATGCTCAGCATTTGGAATATGAATTGAGAGAATATTTTAATCTCTCTCTTACTTTGTTCAAACTTGGTGTTACAAGCTGATGTATAATAAATTAATTCAGGATTCGTAAAGTTAACATGATTAAAATTCATATTGGCGCAAACCCGACGGTACAAGCAGCTTAAAGCTAAAATGCTCAAATATAGAGCTAAGTAATATTATTTTTGCAAAGGCATGCCTGAAGCTTTTACTACACTTACGTATAATAAATATTTTTGTTGTATGTTTACTTATAATCTTCATCTAAAAGAAACAACTTAGGCTAAGTACATAAGTTCTTTACAATACAAAAAATATATAAGTACTAGCGACTCATTCGTATTTTTAATACCGAATCTCAAAATAAAATTATGTCAAAAAAAAATTTTTTGGGGTGGACCACCCTTATCACTTAGGGGTATGAAAAATAGTTTACGTCCTATTCTCAGACCTACTGAATAGACACACAAAATTTCATAAGAATCGATCAAGCCGTTTCGGAGGAGTTTTATTACAAACACTTAACTGTGACACGAGAATTTTATATATTAGATGTACCTTGTACGTTAATAGTCCTAAACTCTCATATCGATTTTTTTTTAAAAGACCAGTGGTTTAAATTGTATTGAAGAATTCTAACACTATTTGTTAATGTTTCGTTAATCCTGTGAAATAAACCAAAAATAACATGTAACTACTTTCAAAATAATTTCTTAATATTATATTTATGGATAATTTCATTAAAAAAAATAAGTGCGTGCAACTTTTACGCACGGTGGAAGTAAAACTTATACCGCTATTAAATTAAAACAAATCATAATATAAATATAATATTTTTTATAAAATTATTAGTAATGTGGGATGATGGGAGAATACCAGCAATAAAACCACCACACTACAATCACTTATTAAAATACGTTTATTAATTTTTTAATAGTTTATTACGTCTTTGCAGTTTGCATCCTTCTTTAAAACAAACACTTTCTCATTCAACATGGCCGAATACAGAGTGTATTGTCCCTTTCACTCATTCTTTCTTTCATTCAAACTTCACACATTTGACATTTTTGCTTTTATTTAATTTATGCACATTCATCACACAGTAATAAATATTCATTTTTATAAGTAATAATTATATTAATAGATATTTATAGAAAAACAAAAACAAATCTATTCCACGGGAATCGCACATTTTTCCGGGATAAAAAGTAGTCTATGTGTTATTCTGATGTATGAGCTATATTATTGTAAAGTTTCATTAAATTCATCATTTAGTAGTTTTTGTGTAAAAGAGTAAAAAACATACATCCATCCATATATACATCCAGATGTCGATACATCCTCACAAATTTTCCCATTTATAATATTATTAGAATAAATATAATTATGTTTATAAATAATAATCATTATAAAAATATAATATTTTTTAAATTATTAATAATAATTTTGCCTCTGACTTCCGCAACACTCGCTTCCGCGACACTCATTTTTTCAATATATCGACTTACCCCTCAGACACGCTCACGCCTAAATAAGTTTTAAAGTACATAGTAGAAGTGTAAAGTGCAAAATGTTGCGTAAAAAAGCCATCGACTATAATAATAATTTTAATTATATTAATACGAGGTTAGTAGTAAGATTCTATAACAAGTTTAAATTATATTTTAAACTTGAAAATTAATTTTGAAAATTGTCTGAATTTTATTTAAAATAATATGAACCTATATAGTTTAACTTGTAAAGTTAATATCATTGCTCAGCGTAAATATACGTCTACAATTTTTTTTTATTTTCTAAATTGTGTACAAACTATATATATTCCTTAAAAATATATATATCAAGTTATAGTTCAAGTAATACAGAAGCGTTATAAAACTAAATGTGAAACTCTTCTCGCGCTTTGGTGTGGATATTGTAGGTATCTACATATTTTTTCCAGTCAAATAAGATGAATAGCTTAATAAGATCAACTCAACAAAACATCAACAAAATAAATATACTTTGAATTTTTTTCACAGTATATACCTTTATACTTTGTCAATCTTTTTTGCTTAATTTAGCCTAATGATTTCTATTCTAATTATAAACGTGTTTTCAAGTTGTGGAAACTTAATTGGTAAATGTGTGTATTTTTTAGTGTAAATTGTATGTTCTGTAATACTGTTTGTTTCCTTAAAATTAATAAACTAAATAAGGTATTTCCAAAAATTATTACTTATACACTTGATGTATAAACTACTAACAACGAAGTGTTTCAAATTAAGCTTTAAATTATAAGTTTCTAAATACATACATACATACAACACAAATATTTACATTAGCAATACTAGCACTTAATTGATCTTAAGAGCGTAACGTGATATTATATATTCTATTATATATATAATATTCCTTAATAGTAGAAAAATCACACTATCAATAATTCTAGTTAATAAAATTTATAAAATGTAACTCGATATTTAAAAGAGCAAATGTTGAGTTTCTCGCTGGCTTTTCTGAGCAGGACTACTTTCCAAGCCGTGGTAGATTCCTCACAGAACAACTACAGTGACGATATTTGAATGAAATTGACGATTCGAAAATGCTTTTATAAGTGTAATTCAATAATTAATTTCATTTTATGATTAATAATACATAACGAAACATTACTCACTGCGATGAGGATGTGTCATCACGATGGCGAGAGGGCATTCGTCGTCTTCTAGAATATATTCAGAGTTGTCAGCTGCATCCACCTGTGAGATAATATTAATAAGTAGAAATATATCAAAATATATCAAATTATTATACTAAAAATGTAGGTATATAGTTTTGAAAAGTTATTAATTTTCCAGCTTTACCAATATATCTACTATATAGGAGTCGTCTAATACCACATTAACTGAGTTTGTATTGATACACATAAAACGTATTTTTGCAGTACATATAATTAAATCCCTGCAGCAGCCCTAAAGGAACCACGCCCAACTTCATTTATCATTTTATTCTTATTCAAAAAATTTGGTATCTACTCATTAATATGCATTCAACATATTAAGTTTGTTTTAAAGTTTTGTTATAGTCCTTCCTTTATAACAAATACACACATACCCATGCTATACATGTAGCATTGGTAATAATTAAGTAAGATAATAATAAAAATAAACATTAATTAAGGATTTATAAGAATTATATAATGCATGCTACTATGTAAATACTGTTAATATCATTTTTATATATATTTTATCTCTGTATAAGTAAACAGTGTGTTCTTTAAGAGAAAATAAATGTCTTTAACCCGAGGTAAGATAATTCTTAAGTCGAAACTGCTACCTTCTTCCACCCTGTTGAATTATTTGTTTTAATTTTAAAATCGATTTACAATCAAACAAATCTGCAAAAATATGATGACCTCCTCCTATTTAATTTAGTATATAATAAGTGGTCACATAAACACTAGTAAAACAAACAAACCTGCACAATACAATACTGGTGCGGGTCGTGCCGCGACAGGGCGTACTTGTCCAGCATCTCGCGCACCACGCCCGCCGCCGTGTCGCCCACCGACAGCAGCAGCGTCTTGTACGGCACGTCCGGGCACAGCGACGACCCGTAGATCTTTAGTGTTCCTCCTGGGATTATATTACTCTTATGCCGGCTCCACACGCCGCGGTTGTCAAACCTCGACAAGCCATCGCGAATTCAAACATGTGGAGAGGGCGTTTGACTTGGCTTGTGTAGATTTGCAGACAGGGTTTATTTTATTTCTTTTAGTTTAATTTAAGTTTAGCCTATTAAGTATTACTTTTTTTAATGATTATGAAAGTTGAAAGTCTGAAAAACTTTTGAGACCTACTTAGGAACCATGAATCATCAGTTTAAATTTTTCATATAAAATTGAAAATTTAAGTCATGATTCACCGAACGTACATTTTTCACTTTACACCAACATTTCATTATCAAAAAAAAATCAAAGTTACAAGGTTAAGTAAGTTGATTACATACACATTACGTTGTACGTTGATTACATACGTACATCTCATGAAAATTCTGTTGCAAAAAAAACTCGAAAAAGTCATCTACTTTTTTTAGAACTTTTTTAAGTTATTCAGTTTGAAAATTCTCAAAAATTCAGAAAAAAATTCATAACTCGTAAACTATAAACAATCGCGTAACATACATGGAGGTGATTCGGGTATCCTAAGGGGTGCACTATCTCTGGACTTCCACTTGACACTACTTTCTGGGACACCTGTATATTCATTTTAAGTCTGACATATGGACGCCACCCAAGAATTGATAGAAGAAATGACAACTCTATTTACGCGAGTGATGCCGAGAGTAGTAACTGGTGAATTATAACTTCTACACTATTGTTTAAATAATGAAATTAAAAAATATTGTTTAAATATTGATGATACTTAATAATAAATAAATCTAATAATGTGTTTTTGTGTGTATGTTTGTCATTTCACGCAACAAAGAGCCAACTTTATTACATAATCGGCCGGAGGGAGACACCTGCAATCTATCATAGAACATAATAAAAATATTGCATAACAATACAAATACTGCTTTCATTACGTCTTAATTCTGTGAGAGAGCAGTATACCTAACCCCAACCCCAGAACTCACTTTTCTCGTCTCTCTTCTAATTTCTAACTTAAAATATTTATAACATTACAGACTAACCGGTATCAGGTCCACCATCCTTGGAACGAAACTGCTGCAGTTTCCTCTCGAGTTTCTGCTGTCGGCGGCGGCGCATCACGGCCTCAGGGTTACTGATGCTTCGTGTGAAAGACGTTTCGGGTAATTCTATAATAAAATATTACATACTATTATCTAAGTAGTGTTATAAATGCGAACGTATGTTATGTATTTTTGTTAACTATTCACACTGAAATGGCTGAACGAATTTCGATGGAATTTAGTTTATTTACACACCCGAGCGGAGCGAGATTATACAATACATAGTCGCTATTCAGTGTTTCAAATAAGCACAGCACATATTTTTGAGGTCTTATCTTTACAAATACGTTAAATGAGCAATGGTGGGATAGATAACATTATTTTCCAAAATACAATAGGTGATTAATATTAGAGTGCTTACATTTTTTTAACTTTTACTCGGTTGTGTTGTGTGAATCCACGTGAATGACAAAATTTATATTAAAATTCAAAAGTCGTAACATACAAAATGAATTCTTACATTATTATAATTTAGAATTTTTAAATAAATCATATAAACATCCAACAAATATTCTATCAATTTCACTTCCAAAGATCTTAATTTTTTTTTATATGGTATCATAATTTTTGAGCAACTCATCACAGATTCATATCAAAGTCAATCCCGAATAAACTATACTCAAAATCAGAATAAATAAAACACATATTTTAAGATCAAAAATCTAAACAAAGGTTTAGCCAATGCCAGTGCCAACCACCTTCATAAAGTTTACCCAAAAAAAAGTCTATAGCATGTAAAACTAAATATGTATAGAACAATGCTACCCATTTTGTAGTTAAATTAGATCCAATAATAAAATATAACTGTTTGAAGAAATTTTTAAATCGAGTTACGCTTACAGCGCGCCCCTGTACTGAATAAAGCATTTACCTTTCTGAATGAACCCATATTTTATCTTCTATTATAATTAAAATGTATAGCATTATCAAATTAACACACATGAATAATTTGCTAAGAATAATTAAAATTTTGTGAGAATAGGTAATTAATATTAATATTGAACTGTCTAGAAAAACGTGACTAACTCTGAATCGTAATTTGACTGTACCATGTCTTTAACACAGTTCTTATTTGTAAATACATTTTAGTATAGCTGTCAAGTAAAAAAAAAAACATTCTAACTGACACGATAAACGACGACGGGCGGTATATATATGTCTTCAAACTGCCAGACTGTCAGTCCTCCGAACTCACGATCTATATACATGTATGATAAATTTATTTAGTCTACTGCATCTAACAGTGAACAGCTATTATCTTTTTATTGGCAACCTTCCTTAAAACAGAAACTATTTATTACGCTCATAAACTGACAGGGCACAAGATATTTTCGATTTTGAATTATGAGATAAAATACATATTATGGAAAATATAAAAATATTATTTTTCGAGAAACATCGCAAGGTAATCGGCATTTCTGAGAAGAAAAGTAAGAATAAAATTATAGGAAGTGTTGAGTCCTCTAACCGAATACAGCAAAAATTTGACCAGCGAAATTGACTACGGCTTGTGTTCAATAGAAAAGCGTTAAAAATTGATTTATTATTTACATATCGGTTCTATATTTATAATATCGGTTACGATGACGTATTACCGAATATAAACGAGGTAAGTTTTGATTCATATTTATTTATTTTAGAGATAATAACAGGAAATCCAAAATTAAAAATTAATTAATAGCCAACAGAATTTGCTTTGCATAAAGATACAGGTCGAACAAAAATAAATTAGAAGTAGCCCGCCCAGGAGTACGTTTTAGAACATCACCGTTAATATCTAAAATAGATAGCTAAAAACACCTAAAGCATCTAAAGCTATATATAAAAAACTTACAATATATAAAAAAAATGTTACTCGCTTAACAAAGCAAGACGATGTGATGCGAATAAGGTAGGTAATAGCGAAAATGATCGAAAAATTTTAGCAGAAGTAAATCTGTTCTGTATTATTGAATCAGACGATAGCACAGATTATAACAATCTAATTATAGAAAATAAAATATCAAAGGACACACTAAAATAAAGTGTTTTATAGCTACTAAATTCCAGTAATATTATAAATGTGAAAGTTTGTGACGATGGATGGATGTTTATTACTCTTTCACGCCAGAACGGCTGAATGGATTCCGCATGAAATTTTTGACTATAATTTATCTCTGTGCCAAATTTTAATCAAAATTTGGCACAGAGATAGACTATAGTCTGGAATAGCACAGAGGTTATTTTTTATCCCGGAAAAACGTACGGTCCCCGTGGGACACATTTGTTTTTTTTTTAGGGATGAACCCGACGTAAAGCGAGGATGAGTGTACAATATAAACTTAATAGGAATGTTAAATACAAAGTGTTTACTATATAAAATGTGCATAATATATCACTGTACCTGTATATAATTTTTCCGCAACAGGTCGATTTTCATCGTTCGTATCAGATTTCAATCGAGATAATTTCTCTTTCTTTTTAAGTTCTTTCTTTTCACGTTTCGACAATTTTCGTTTGAAGTTTTGATCGGCTTTTTCATTCACCGAAGACAAAGGCACCTGAAATTTAAGTAATATTAAATATTTTTCTTCATAACAAATACAAATCTTTATTAAAATTTATATTATCGAGTGCGACAACTTAAAACTTACTACAAATAATGACATTACTTCAGCAAATACCTACTTACCGAATGTTTTACGAAAATAATTTTTTTTTAATTAAATACAATAGATACATCTCATACTCCATAGACACAATAAAAAAACTTGTAGATTAGAACAAAACTAAATAAATCTATGTATATAAATGCTAAAATTTGTTTATGCGTGTTTGTTAGTCATTAACGTAAAACACCTGGACGGATTTGGATGAAATTTAAAACACAGACATATTAAGCTTGAATAAAATTATATAGGTTACTATTAGGTACATTAGGTACCAGGCCGGACCTTTTTTTTTTTTTTACCAGGCCGGACCTAGGGTAAGTCAATTTTATGAAATTGCAAATCATTATTACTAATTACCTCATTATTAGTAAGGCACTTGAGTAAGAATCTCCCTTCGCGGTCGTCCGCGTGCCAGTTGAGCTGCACCAGGAGCGGCTTCTCGTGAGGCTCCAGCTTGCGCTCGTCGTCCGGCCCGTGTGTCTCCCACAACGAGTACGAGCCGAGGGATAACATACGCATGTCTGGACGGAACTTTTCGATTAAGGTCTCTGAAAAAATATATGTAAGTACTTATTATGTATATGTTTAGAATATATGTATATCTATTTAGTACACTAAAGTGTTTGTTTACAAAAATCTTTCATGTATTTCTTATTTTTATGTTTACACTATTTCCATATAAGAAGGCTCACCTATAACATCGCTGACAGTAGCATCGGAGCCAACACGGATGCATTTGGTTGCTATCTTCTGACCCGAATCTTGAAAATAAAATCGCATCACGCCATGGAATTCCAAGTTCTGCAATAAATTATAAAAAACAACGTTCAAGTTAAGCTTAGTAAAAACAATGGTAAAAAACATACAATTGACAAAGTTTTTGTGACATATGAAAACTGGCCAATCTACAAATTTTATAAAAAACTATCTTTCAAAGTTAAATAGAAATGGATATTCTTTTGAGATACTTTTATAACAGTTTTAAGTAGTTTCCTTGGCATGGCCTGGACAGACGAAAAAAGCTTAGTCATTCACTATTGTGCATTTGTTTACTTGCAATAACTAGAATCAAATGCTTAATCTCCGTCGTTGTATTTATGGGCATTGCATTTATGGGAAACTCTGCATCAGATTGACGAATTAGAGTTTTCACGCCCACTTTTTTCTAAATGATTGAGTTGATTCATTCATACGTACATAAACGTATGGGAAATATGCAACGTTGCGTCTTATATGTATGTACAAAAAATGTAAATAAAAACAATCGTTCAAATTACAACATATATACATAATTAGAAAAACATTTTGCGCTGTCTAATTTAATTTTTTAAATGACATTTAGTTGTGTTAAGAAAACAAATCGTTTAGAATAATTAACTAGAACAATGTAACATATAAGTTATTCATGTTTCAGAACCTGTAGATGATGAAGGAAAAGTAAATAACAAAATAAACCATTATAATAAGTAAGCGGAAGAGTGTTATCTCGATCCCGTTCTTGGTACGATAACGCATGATGACAAAGTTATCTAAGCAAATTGCTTGCATGACTCACGTTTAAAATTATCATGCAATGGTAATAATGCGTAGTAAACCTGATTCACCTAAAGTGCTATTTTTTATTTTATTACCACGCAAGTTTCGGATCTGAACCAGTCGTGGCAAACTTTGTACCAAAAAGATTAATTTCAACGTAAAATATTTATATCGTTCCAAGAATATACATAGTTGCAGCTTACATAGTAGCTCAGTTTCGCCAAAACTTATAAGTATGTAGTAACAAACAAAACAGTAGTATCGGTTACCTCGTTGGGTTCGCTGAGTTCGAACAGGTCGAGGCGGTTGGCGTTCCATTGCTGGATCATGTTGCGGAGCGCCTCGCGATCCAACATCCGCTTGTCCGCCGCGTCCATCCTGTCACCACATCAAGCACCACCTGAAAAGTATTATTCGGGTATTATTATTTAAATTTTAATCTATTTGATAATAAATGTACTCGACATATAATTAATTCTTTTAACGTCTTTAAACACAAACTAAATATTAAACACTAAATCAAATTGTTTTATTTTATGCGTTGTCTATACCTACCTGTTATTATTAAATATGTATCCTTAATAATTCTATTACGATATATAAGTACAGACTTAATAATATAAATGTGAAATTATGTTTGTTTGTTTATCCTTCTTTCATATCGAAACAGAGTGACGGATTGGCGTGATTTTTGTGTTCAGATAATTTAGAGGACTGGAGTGTGACAAAGGCTACTTTTTACAGTAAGTACGCATAAAGTGTTAATTTTATAAGGTTCATTCATTATATTATATCGTTCATCAGATTGGAAGAAAATATAATACTTAATTTTATATTAAACTCAAATAATAGTTTTACAATTTATTATCTCATATTTATACTGTTGTAACATTAAATTGGAAAACGAGCTTGTAGCATGTCTGCCGCGCCTTTATTTACAACAGATACTAACAGATAACAAAAAATAATTTAGATAAATACGATAATGTTATTCTATTTATTGGTTCTACATAAGACCAGCAACAAAATAATGTACTTTGTCAGCCACAAAATTTAAAGCATATAGGTATATTTAAAAATCCATAAGTAGCTTCTTATAAAATATATAAAATTACGTCGATGTTTATGCAAGAAATCATGAAATGAAACCAGCAGTTTCTGTAATTGCCGATGTTCCGATTGCCGTCTATTTCTTTCAAATTATTTTGATTAATGTTACGCAATCTGAGTGTTAGTACCTAATCCTTATTATTATAACGTGTATTAGTATTATAAATAAAAAAAAATATCTGTAGGTATGTCCATTGTCTATTTGCTTGACAAAGACAAGACAATGTGTGCGCCAATTTTATATTCAGAAAATTGCAGCTATGTAAAACTAAAAACTAAAAATAAGAAAAATTGTACAAGTGGGCGGTTCCTGGCATACATCATGTGCGCCTGCACACCTACGAGCGTGTTTGTATTTATAACGTAAACATATGGCCCGTCCGAATGTAGTTTAGGCCGACTAAACATTGGAGCCGTAAATTGCGCTTCCTATAAATATTGGGAAAATGTGTTTATATGCATTACACCAACACTACACTAGCATATTTTTTTGACTTATAGCATTTATACAGATGCACTTGAAGTAAGCATCTATTAAAATAATAAATAAGTACATAATATTATGTATTCAACAGGTTTCTTAAGAAGATGAGTGTTATCTGTCACCCTCTTCGCTCAGACAAATCGTGGAAAAAGTGATCAATTTTAATATAATTATATGCTTATTGCTAGTAGGTCTTTAGTATATGTAACATACACATCACTACCTGCGTAAGTGAGATAGATTCGAACATGCTAACACTTTCAAAATTAGAGGGCAACTAATTACCTTCCCGTTTCGTTTTATACAAACATATATTGATGTTAACAACTTTGTTACCATTTGATAAGCGACGATATATCCATTATTCTTAATTAATAATATAAATGTGAAAGTGTGTTTGTTTGCCCTTCTTTGACATCGAAACTGAGTGATTTTTTGTATGGAGTTAGTTGCAGGGCTGGAGAGTGACATAGGCTATTTTTTACCGCGGGAGATTATCTCATTTCCATATATAAAAAATATTTATATATATTAAAAAAAACATATTTATTATCAGAATTACTTGAAACTTTGTATTAATGCTCTTTAATACAATTAAATAAATACGTGTTTTAACATTTTTCGAAATTCATCCCATATGAGAGTAAAATAGGCGATGAAAGTTTGTATGAGATCTACCTTTTTAGGTTTTTTTTGTAGTTTTATCGCGAGCGAAGCCGCGGGTTCTGCTAGTATATACTATCTATACTTACTAATATTATAAATTTGAAAGTTTATGAGTATGTATGGATGTTTGTTACTCTTTCACGCCAGAACGGCTGAACGGATCTGAATGAAATTTGGCACAGAGATAGATAATAGTCTGGAATAACACATAGGCTACTTTTTATTCCGGAACAACATACGGTTCCCGAGGGATAGATTTGTTTTTGTTTTTCCGCCGCTAGTAATAATTCATGCGGTATATATTGTATATGCATATATTATATATTGGGTTGTAATAATCAATTTAAAAGTATGCTAACATATTTAACTTTTTTACTTGCGAAATAAAAAAACAAACATTTTTGAAATAGGTACGGTACATAATTAGTACGTTTTAACGGGTAGTATACAATAAATAGACTATATAATATATATGTACTGTAGGTATGATGAGTTGCTGTTGGTTAAATTATAAGGTGTTTTCCTGCGGAAATGAGATATAACCCATGTCTATCTCCAGCTCTCTAATAATCTCCACACAAAAAAATACGCTTAACCGTCACTCTATTTCGACGTGAAAGAAGATCAAACAAACAATCAAACATTAAAACACAGAAACAAACAAACACACTTTCACATTTATAATATTAAATAGGTATGGATTAAGGACATTCATTTTTCGTCACTCTACTTTATTTGCAATTAGCAAAGTTCAACATATTAAACTTGCATTTTCATCAAGGAACACAAAGAACGAAGTTACTACATAATGTAAAACTATTATATCCAGTCAACTTTCATTTCTAAAAATAATACAATCTGCCGATATTGTATAAGTAGTATAAATGTATACATATAGGTAATAAAATTGTAACTAAGCCGAATCTGCACATTAAATATTTTTTGGAAAATCTTATTGAAATAAACATGATTATCGATACAGAGGCCGAATCTATACTTTTTAGAATTTTTGTCCGTCTGTCGGTCTGTTACCGTCTCACTGAAAAACCACTGGAGGGATTGTGATAAAATTTGGTATGATGATAGCTGGTTATCCGGGTCAACATATAGGATACTTTTTACCGCAGGAAAATATCTAATTTCTGAGAAAAAATACAAAAACTGCAATGTAAGAGTTTACCTACTAATATGTAAAACCTGAGAATTTGGTTTTTGGTCATCTGAATGCGGGCGGAGCCGCGGGCAATGCTAGTTAAATATAAAATAGCACAAATTAATGATATTTTATATTGTAATTTTAAATTAAAGTTAATCTAAATTAATTAAAATTAATTCATAAATTGTGTATGAATGAGTTCTTGTCTTATTATAAAAATTAAGTTCTATTAAAATAAATATTTTTAATAAAAATTAGCTTATATATTTTTTTCAAAATGTACTTTAAAATGTAAATATTCACGAAGTTGTCAATCGTGTCGGAAGTTTCCGCATGCGTTCACGTTTTGCCGACTGAAGTCCTTCCTTTCGTTGTTCTATAGATATATTATCATAATAATGCTTGTAATAAGTACATACATATAAATAAAAACCGTCATTATTGTTTGTAGAAGTCTAATTGAATAACGTAAGTTTTGATTTAAACGCAGGTATAACGCTGTTTCAATGATGTGTGTACGTAGTACATACCTAAAACCCCCATGTATGTACATTGTAATACTTACATACTCGCTAGACAAAACGAGATCTATCTATACATATAATAAAATTCTGAGTCGAATCTGTATATTGAATATTTTTTGGAAAATCTTTTTGAAATAATCATTATTATCGATACAGAGGCCAAATCTATAGTTTTTATAATTTTTGTCTGTCTGTCTGTCTGTTACCGCATCACGGAAAAACCACTGGAGGGATTTTGATGAAATTTAGTATGATGATAGCTGGTTAGCCGTGTCAACATATACTTTTTACAGCGGGAAAATATCTCACCTCTGAGAACTCATTAGTCCCTACTTACGTTTTAACGTTTAGTATCTAAATAGATATATAAGTAGGGACGAACCCGAACGAAGCGAGGGCGAGTCGCTAGTCTTAAATACAAATATAGTGTATATACAAATTGTCACTATTGAAAACAATACCTATCATCGAAAAAATCAAATTCTAAATTAATAAAGCACTTTTCACAATTTTTCTGGAATTCAATTCTTCTATAAAAAAAAGGTAGCTGTTATAATACTATCATGTACACATCATGTGTATTCGTGATTTATATAATCATGAACTTATTCTCTCATTTAAAGTACCACCAGCTTGAATTAGTTTAATTAACCAATGTAAAAAAGTGAAAGTAAAAGCATAGTATAAAAAATTGTCAGAAAGACTTTCCTTCCACAGGACGGCGAGCCAATTACGTTCGGTTCCTATATAATTTATCACATTAATCGTTATAGAAATGTGCGATTAACTGACTATCCCATACCAAACCTCTCATGAGATTATCCAATATCGAGAATTTCATGAATGAATAACATCTGTATTACTCTCACTTAGAGTTTTCTCGCTTACCCAGTTCTCACTCACTCAGGTTTGACTGTATACCTATTACAAAAAGCAAAAAATATATAGAATCTAACTGCGGCTAAGCGTATCGTGGGAACAAATTCAGTTATTAAACATTGAAGGGGTGCAAAAACTAAACTGAGCACCGACCCCCGCGGCAAGTGCATAGGGGCGTAACAAGTGGACGTATCGCAACATTACACCGAACCTAGCACCCTATTCTACTACAACATTTCAATGGCATTCCAGAAATACTGTTTTTTAGTCTCTATATAAATAAAAGTGTAAATGTTTGTTCAACAAAAACGTAACATATTTTGTTCTGGCTTTTTGATGTTTTGTTTTAGTTAGTTTATGCAAACGAAAATTCATCACCGATTGATTTAAAATTTTTATACATACTTGTAAGATTTTAGGTGGAGGCTTCTTCCGACCGCCATGAACAATTAACACACAGAGGAGCCTAGTTCGAAACATCCTACCCTACGAAGAATATTTTCGCGTTTTCCATTTATGCGGGCGAAGCCGTGGAAAAGACTAGTTGACAATAATATA